CGAGCTACTTCCCAGTCAAGCCTCCCGCGTCGATATCAAACCTAAGTAGTATGTATCATGGACGTAAGAATATATGGACGGAGCCCAAAGTCTCGGCTTAGGCGAAGGGAGGACGCTTGCACGTCGGAATGCGAAAATCACGAAGTAGCATAAGGAGATTCGGCGCAATGTGTTGATTATAGGTTTCTTAGTTTTGCCTACACTTTCTACACTTTTACGAAAAGTGACACAGCGCCGTTGTTCGTTTTGCGAGGGCATCTACCCCGAGGGTACACTTTCTCTACACTTTCTACCCTCGATCCCGAGCGAGGGCAAGAAGGGTAGTCCGCGAATTTGGCGGCAAATTTGAAAATTGAAAAGACCAACAAACAGGAAAATACAAAATTTATGCTAACGTCTCAACGTAATATAAATAGAAGGAATTATTAATCCATCTTCTTCGTGTATAGAACGATTTAGCGTGATAGTTTTGTACGTAATGTTTGAAACAATTTACAATAATTATGTATTACTACGTAACCGCGGTTGGAATGAACTAAACTATCATTTTTCCCTGTTGTAGTTAAATTGCTTTTCATTCTACTGCAATAACATTCTCACCCTTATTGATCCTCGATACCTGAAATTCGTGAAAGGAATTTTCATCTTCTACAATTACAAGGTAATAGAACGAATTGTAGGATTTGAAGAAAACCAAGACAGCCCAAGAAGGAAGGCTGGAGGAAGCATTACATTTTCGTATTCGTCATCGTCCGATACGGATAACCTCAAAATCGCGTACCGCTCTACTAAATCGGTCATCTTGGACATTCGTGAGGTTGCTGGCGTTCGGGACGTCGACGAAAGTGTATCTACCCTTCTGCACTTTTCAAGAAAAGTGTAGTACCCTCGTTACCCTCGAGTGTAGAAAGTTCAGTCAACGCGAACAAACCTTATATCTCCATCGTACTCCTCAATCCGAGATTTATCGAATCTGGATCCAGTAAATCGCATGTTTCCATCGTACTCCTAAATCCGGGATTTATGGAATTCAGATTCAGTAAATTGCATATCTCCATCGTATTAATAAATACACAAATTCGATCCTGAGCGTCTCGATCGACCCTTAAATTCGGATTTACTGGATCTGGACTCGATAAATCCCGGATTTAAGGGAACGATGTAGACGTAGTCATTAACAATTATGCAGACTCGATTATAAGCACCTCGATCGACCTTTAAATTTGGATTTACTGGATCTAGACTCGATAAATCCCGGATTTAGGGGAACGATGGAGACGTAGTCATTAACAATTGCACAGATTTGATCATAAGCATCTCGATCGCCACTTATATTCGGATTTACTGGGCCCAGACGAGATAAATTCCGGATTTAGGGGTACGATGTAGACGTAGTTATTAACAATTATGCAGGCTCGATCATAAGCATCTCGATCGACACTTAAATTTGGATTTACTAAGTCCGGACTCGATAAATTCCGGATTTCTAGCACGATGGAGACATAGTAACTACGTCTCCATCCTCCTTCTAAATCCGTGATTTATGGAATTCAGATTCAGTAAATTGCGATCTCCATCGTATTAATAAAAACACAAATTCGATCCTGAGCGTCTCGATCGACCCTTAAATTCGGATTTACTACGGCCAGACTCGATAAATCCCGGATTTAGGGGAACAATGGAGACGTAGTTATTAACAATTATGCAGGCTCGATCATAAGCATCTCGATCAACACTTAAATTTGGATTTACTGAGTCTGAACTCGATAAATTTCAGATTTCTAGTACGATGGAAACATAGTAACTACGTCTCCATCCTCCTTCTAAATCCGGGATTTATGGAATTCAGATTCAGTAAATTGTATATCTCCATCGTATTAATAAATACACAGATTCGATCCTGAGCGTCTCGATCGACCCTTAAATTCGGATTTACAGGGCCCAGACTCGATAAATTCCGGATTTAGGGGTACGATGTAGACGTAGTTACTAACAATTATGCAGACTCGATCATAAGCACCTCGATCGACAATTAAATTTGGATTTACTGAGTCCGGACTCGATAAATTCCGGATTTCTAGTACGATGGAGACATAGAAACTACGTCTCCATCCTCCTTCTAAATCCGGGATTTATGGAATTCAGATTCAGTAAATTGCATATCTCCATCGTATTAATAAATACACAAATTCGATTCTGAGCGTTTCGATCGACCCTTAAATTCGGATTTACTGGATCTAGACTCGATAAATCCCGGATTTAGGGGAACGATGGAGACGTAGTCATTAACAATTGCGCAGATTTGATCATAAGCATCTCGATCGACACTTAAATTTGGATTTACTGGGTCTGGACTTGATAAATCCCGGATTTAGGAGTGCGATGGAAATGTAGACATTCTGTGAAAACGACGATTGGCGGTATGTCTTATTATACTACTTCATGACGAACATTACAGCGACCATATTCCTTAAAGAACATTTCACCCTCCCGATTGACCGATTTCCTAACAAGGCGCAATTTCGAAGACCTTTTATGACAAATGAGTTGTAATTTTATTCTACTATTATATTTACAACGGATAATAAATTTATATTTAATTAATGGGTAGGTAATTAGGCAAGGAAAATAAAAATATAAAAGCGCGCTTTTATCCGTGGCTGGTCGCGTCTATATTTCCAGTTTTTATCTAATTTCATTTTTCTCGCTAATCCCCTGCGCAAAACAATTTTTACAGTTTTTTTACACTACAAGTTAATGTATCTGCATTTCGCTCGCTATTTACGCTGACTCTTTACCGCAGTTCGCACAGTCTCTTACTCGTCGCTTGTAAAATGATAATTAAATCTTAGCCAATTGGGATGCCTGAATCTTCACAAAGCAATATGGCCGCCTTCCTGCCTTTTTTGTTCCCTCCTTGTCTATTCGAGCACAGAGAGTAAGTCTCAGGTGTACACGGACTATTTGGGCGACTATATTGACCACGGCTCCATCGCACCCCAAGATCCGGGATTTATCGGGTTCGGATTTAGTAAATCGCAAGTCTTCATTGCATTAAGGTAAAGTGAAACACGTCGAGGAACTTGATCGACGTCGATAAAGAAGATTTTTCTAAATGCCTACGTTGCCGACGTTGGTTTTTAAATTGACAGCTGTGTCGAATTATATTGGCTATTGTACTAAATGGCATCCTCCAGCTGTCGTTTTCGTACAATAATTACAAAGAAATCAAAGTAAAGCTCCGGAAATCCTCTGGATTCATGCCTTCTGGGGCTCTAATAGACTGCAGAGGGACCCCGTTTTTCGACATTTTTCAAATTTTAACGGATATTTTTTAATTTTTGTTTTTCCAACATTTTAGATTCCGTCTGTGAAGGAAAATTCTCTGAAGAGAATGACGTTTGGGAATTGTCGAAAACTTTAACCGGACACTCGGAATCGTGGCAATGAAGGAGCAGGGCATGAGACGCGTGGTCTTCTTTATCCTCCCGTATCTCCCTTAAATATTAATATTTTTGAATCCTCAACCACTGAAATTAATAGTCAAAACTTCAATAAAAACGTTGCAAGAAAGGAAATGTATGTATGTTGTTTCGGTTCTTCACAAATACCATTTGAATTTTATCCCATTATTGGCCTATTTTCGCTGTCTCATCTCCTTAAAAAGAACCAATTTTTAAGTTACGTACGAAACGAAACGACCGGTTCAACTTGCTTCCATTTTTTCGCCTTCCCAGTTTTTCCTTACAACTACGAGCCACCCGGATCATTAATGGTCTGTAGAAAACAATGAAATTGAAAAAGTTCAATTTATCACGTTTAAATTAATACTTCATTTGACTCTCTAACGTTCGGCACTTGACCATACCAATATGGCCGCGAGCTCTCACTTCGACTTGAACCAGAGGGGTGACACTCCTTATGGGAGGAGGGTAACGCGGAAGTTAGTTCACCTACTCCAAGCAAAGACTGCGCTAGTGTCGTGACTTCTCACTCTAATAGAAAGAGAACAACAGAGAAAAAAATATTTTAACCAATAGCAAGAGACTCCAGGAGGCGCAGCGTAGATGCGCATGAAAATAATCGGGACAAGTGAACCAAAGTGAACCTAACCTCGATTAGTGGCAATATTTTTACAAGTTTCGATTACCTCGGGTATTAAATCGCGAACGTGAATTTGTAAGTAAAAGTGTAAATCAAGAACAGTTTGTAGTTTCTTACTATAACAATTGTAATAATTAAATGGATTGTAACAAAAATTAAATTTGTATAGAATTTGTATAACGAAAAATATTTATACGTTCATAATAATTAATATTTTTATCTTAATAAATATTTTACTTTTTAACTACTGATTAATGTAATTATTTCAGTTCTTACAGTGATTTAAAACAGGCGTTGCGCCCCTGACACTTTTGTTACTTCTTTTATGTTTAATATACCGTTTTCTTACATTTGCGTGTGTCAGTTTAAGCAACGTCTGTTTTGATCATTGCAAGTATTTTTTAAATTCCGAAAATTAATAAATGAATTTGAATAGCCCGCCAAATAATTTAGTTCGCGAAGAAGGTTTACTCCAACCGAAGATGGCAGTAGTGCATAAAGCGTTACACCCCAACACATGGCAGTGTCATCCCCCTGCTTCGGCTTCCACTCCGCGACCAAAAGCCCAGTCCCTCTATTTCTATGTCCATCACCAGGACCGAACTCAATAAATCCCGGATTTGGAAATACGATGGGAACGTAGTCAGTGCCGGCGTTCAAAGGACCCATGTCCATTGGGGACAAATCCAGCAGGCTTGGGCTTCGACTAAACATTCTTACGGCCATGGTATGTATACCTTACGAGTATAGTAACCTACGGCCGCGGCCAGATGGCGTTGCCGGTGGCGCGCTTGAGCATCCTAGGTGGCTATGGCCTCGGCCGACGCCGACGCCGACGCCGAGGCCGGCCCTCAGACGGAGGTCTCGAAATCGGCGACGGCGTGCCGTCAACAGACGTCATCCTTGCCGTGGGCCTCGAGGTACATGTCGCCGTAGCGGCCGGCCAGCCCGTTGTCGCGGTGATGGTGGTGATGCGTCGCCGGATGGTGGAGATGGTGGTGGTGGTGATGGTTCGCGTCGACGGCGACGGCGACGGCTACGCCCTTCCGCTTCCTGCGCTTGCGCGCGCGGTGCCGGTAAAGGCAGTACTTGAGGCAGCCGGTGGCCAGCAGGAGGACGAGGAAGACGCCGAGCGCCCCGGCGGCGACGGCCACGTACAGCAGCGTCACGCCGAACCGGTACGAGCACCCGGAGTCCTCGTCGAAGCCCGAGGGGCAATGGCGCACGCCGTCGCACCAGAGAACCGGGCTGATACACGCTTGGATCTCGGGGCACCTATGGGCAGGTGAAGGGGGACATAAGTCTGGTTTACATTGGTAGAGTTAAGGTGAAGTGAGACCCCCTTCAAATCAGTCGATTCGAATACAACACTTTTTTTTAAGGGTATTAGACCAAACTATCCGAAACTTTGACACATCACTCCTGATCATCTAAGAATTGTCCTGGCACGTTCAAAATATGAATTTTTAACAATATCTTTTAACTCAGCCCAGGCCAGAACCAAAATGGCGTCGAGCTCGCATATTTCGATCAATATACAATTATCGAAGGCTCTGATATGAGAAACGAAAGGGTCAGTACAATTTTATGGGAGTAGGAGCCCCTTTCTGGGGCTCTAATTGACTGGAGAGGGACCCCCTGCGCCATCTGTGATTTCCAGGTCAATTAAATTTTCACTCCGAGACCTCGTATTACCTTCGTTTTAGCAAAGAAGCGCATACAACACTTTATTTTGCCTTTATCCCGTTCAAATGCGAGTTTATCGATTACCGGAGTGTTCTAAATTGTCGTAAAATTGTCCTGGCCCCTTCGATTCTCATATCAGAGCCTTTGATAATTGTATATCGATCGAAATATGAGAGCTCGACGCCATTTTGGTTCCGGTCTGGGCTAAGTTAAAAAATTGTTCCCAAAAATCCAAATGTTGAACGTGTCAGGACAATTCTTAGATGATCAGGAGTGATGTGACAAAGTTTCGGACAGTTTGGTCTAATATCCTTAAAAAAAAGTGTTGTATTCGAATCGACTGATTTGAAGGGGTTCCACTTCACCTTAAACGGTGACGACGCTAAAAGAACTGCACCCACCTGTAAGGGCACTCTTCGGGACCGGGCGCAGCAGCCAGCGGCGCGCGCCGCCTCGAGATGGCCATCCAGGTGACGGCGTGAAAGCCGGGCTCCCGTTGCAGGAACTCGACGACGAAGCTGCGGGCGTGCCGGTGCAGGACGGCCTGGCCATCCGGGGCGCCGGCCGATAAGTTCCACCCGGGCGAGAAGAAGTCGACGGCGCGCCGCGCGCCGGTCTCTGGGCAGACGACCGTTCGCTCGGCCGTGTCGGCAGCCCAGTAGACGACGATGCGGTTCGACGTGGGGCAGCCCTCGGCCTCGGCCCCGAGGGCGTAGCCGGCCGTCCTTAGGTACAGGAACCCGCCACGAGGGTCCTCGGGCTCGATGAGCCAGGGCTCGGCGACGCAACGCGTGGCCGAGAGGTCCTCCGACTCGGCCAGCACCTCCTCGACGGCAGCCAATCCGGGCAGAGGACCACGCAAGGAGATCTCTCCGCTGGTGCCACGCAGACGACGCTCCTCGAGACGCGCGCGCGAGCACCCGGCCCCTCCACCTGCGGACAAACGAATCCTCTTTATTAACCACTTGCGCTATAAAGACGTGCCAGGCACGTCGAGATGCTTTTGTTCCAAAACTGCCAGCGACATGTATACCACGTCGTTAGGCATTTGTCGCAGAAACAAAATCGACGTGTCCGGCACGTCGGCTAACAGTTGGATCGTTCATTATTCGAGCTACAGTTCCAGAGTGCACGACATCGCGTAGCGTCATCGATATCTTGGAAATAATTCAGAATCGATAGGGTATGTTGTACGGATGTTATACCGCATGTTATATTGTAGAGCGCGGCACGGTAACCGAAAATTAAATCGTAGCGCAAGTGGTTAACCCTTTTGTTACGGCAGTCCGTTCCGCCAGACAACCGCAACTGGGGTGCACATTGCGTTTCGGCAGTCTTCGGTGTTCGAACTTACGTATTCCACCTGAATGACGCCTCCTTGACTGCCTTTTGTATGTACACTTTTCTAAGTGCTAGATAACAACTGTTTTGTCGTATTATTCCATTATTCAATTTCTAAATAAAAGTCTAACCTTGAACTTTTTAAATATTAAAAGTTATCCTAATAGCTGATCTTCTCACCTGTAGGCCTATTCTCTAACTCGTAACGATAGCTATCGTTATCGTTAGTCTACCGAAGCGACACCGTAACGACAAAATCTATTCTATAACTTTCTTGATACGACAAACGTCGTTAATGTAGCGACAAATGTCGTTATGGGTATCGGTAGTTTATCGAGCCCTACAAGACCCCTCGCTAAGAACGTAACGAGTAACGTCGAAGCGTTAACCACTGGGAATCCAAGAAAACCTCTTCTCTCATTGGTTCTATCGTGACATTTAAAATATATACAGAGACTCCCAACCAACAAACTTTAATTAAACGCAATTTATGAATTTAACCAAACAGCAAATTCAGCTTTTGTAATTATTGACGTGGGTATTAATTTTGAGTAAGTTAAGAAATATAGAAGCACTAAATTCTAAGGTATGTATAACCTTTGTGTGCATGCAAATGTTTAAGAGTGAGGTTATGTTTACTCAATACATCTTAACATAATTTGTGTAACATGTACCGTGTATGTATGCACTTTCAATAACTGTGCCGTTTTTCTATTATTTTATAGAAACAATGGCAGAACATTTTCTCGAGTGGGAACTTCTAGTATTAGAAAATCGAGTACGCCAATTAGAAAGACGAATAGAGATGAGACGTCTAAGAGATGCACAAAATCCATTTGACCTTCCTTACAATGAATTTTTAAAACATTTCCGATTAAGTCCAGAACTTGTTATGGATATTGTCAATACACTGCGTCCACGATTGGAAAGAGAAAGAATTCATGGCTTATCACCAGAAGTAAAAGTATTGGTAGCAATTAATTTCTATGCTAATGGAAGCTACTAAAATCCAGTTGCTGCAAATATGAACTTGATAGTTAGTCAACCATCTGCTAGTCGTTGCATTCGTAAGAAAATAAAAGACTATTTCAAATACTAATATAAGAAAAGATTGCATTAAGTAGTGTTGAAACTGCTTTTTAATAAAGAGCTATTGAAAAAATTTCAACTTCGCTGCCGTGAACCAGTATTTTTAATTTGTATCCTGTTACGTCCGTAAGAAAAATCCGTGTAGTAATTAGAGTATATAGTTATAACTTCACGAGACCTCGTACCATCCTGGGAATTTTGACTTTCTCCGCTTTATGCGAAGGAACCGAACTTTCGCGAAGGGTTGGGTAAACAAGACCATAAAAAATACCCTTGGACGGTACGGGATCTTACAAAGGCATGGTCAGGCCGTACTCGACCTGGCTACCCTTTTGCTACCCTCGCTGCCGAAGTCGTGGGAGGCGACTTTTTTGGGCATCTCCGCCAACGAACCAATCACGTAAAGGTTAGAAAAAAATTTGTATCCCTTCCACAACGCGGCAACATTTTTCTGAGGCACCGCGAGTCCTTGCGTGACTCCAAAAGGACACTCTGCTTTTTACAACGAACGAAGGAAGTCCTCGATTCTCATTTAGAACAACGTAACGCGAAGCTGCATCCCTCCGTACGCTTTATCCCAGTAGAAGTCTGGTTTAAAAACAATTAATCAGAACTACTAGGAGCTGTTCGCCTTCTGGCGTGCAGTGCAAAGAACACATCCTTTGTATCTTTCAGTGTTCACAAACTTATCTTAAGAAAACGTGAAATTTCATTGGTTGAAAACAGTTATGCCAAATAGGGCATTGTCGCTTGCGTAACGATGTCGTTAGCTCGTTTTGTATCGATAGGCTGTCGCTAGGAGCAGTTACAGAAAACGCCATTCGTTAAGCTGTCGGTAGAACAAAGCGACTACCATCGGTAACGTAACGATAACGACAGTTGTCGTTACGAGTTAGAGAATAGGCCTACTGGTCTTGATGGTCAAACTGTGTTATGTATGTTCAAAATGTATATTTAGGATGATTAATGCAATACGGGTGAATATAAACAAAAGATACTCCGCAGATATGGTAGAATTTGTTACCGACTAAAGGCGGTGCTCGTACACAAAGGTCGTTGCATGTGTGCTGACTATAGTGGATGCTCGTAACGAAAGGGTTAATAAGGACATGCAACTTCATGTGTAAAGGCCTTAACAGACACCTCGTTTCAGCATAACGGCAAGTATAAAAGGAGGGACTAATCAATCAGATTGCAGAAAACATAATATGGCATCGTTTGTCGGCAATTTGATTGACTAATTCTTACTGTTATGCCAACGGTCACTGCTTTGCAAGGTATCTGTAAAGGCGTTAACGCCTTTTACGGGCAAAAGGTCGAACTACGTAAGTCACACCTATTCCCCATTTGTTGGCTTGTCGTTCTTTCTTTTAAAATGAAGAGAAATCCGTTGAGGAATTGAATAATTACCGGTAAAAGCAAATTATTCTAATTGATATACCATCTGAAACAACGCGTCATGTTACCGGCGTTTACCAGAGATGAGCGGGGAGATGTTTCACGCCATTGTTTAAAAGGGAGGTATGGCCCCTTGGCGCCCGCTACCGTGTTTACACCTCTGTAAAAATTGGAACTACCATCAAAGGGGCTAAACGTTCGCGATCGGTAAAACAGGGTATACGTCGATGCCGTGTCGTAATATCAATCATCCACGCATAACAACTTTATTTGGTATTCGTGGTCCTCTTTCCCACCCTACGTTGACCCTGACACTAAAAGCGGAAAGACGATAACTTCATTCTACCGATACTATGTTGTATTTGAAATCTGCAGACGCATTTTTTTACCGATAGAGAACATTTCGCCCCTTTGAAAGCAGCTCCACAACGCTAGGGAGCCCTGCCTACCTTTCAACAATGGTGTGAAACGTCTCCCCCCTCATCTCTGCGTTTACAATTATGTCGGCGTATGTGTTGTATTATGCTGAGAATTGTACGAAATGACAAGCTCCTTATGTCCTTTCAGTAATGTGATTATAAAGAAACCGAAGTATCCACCAGGAACTTCCTGGATCCATGACGTTTGATAACCGATTACACGACCATCACTTGCTCTTTGCAAAAGTTAGTGTCAATTAAGATGTAAAATAAATAAAAGTATCGATACTTTGGTGGTCTCGGTTAATTCCTACCTTCACCTCCCGCTCCACCACCGGCTGCGACGAACCGATACTCGCCCTCGAAGAAGAAGTCCCGATAATCCTGTCCGCCGGCCATCAGGCTGATGGTGAAGCGCACCTCGACAGCGCCAGCAGCCAGGGGTCTAACCGGCAGCCGCTCGGTGAGATTCGAGCAGAGGCAGGCACGACCCAGGCGCACGCCCTCCCAGGGCAGTTCGGCGACGACTAGTTCGGCGACGCCTTCATGGCGGTCCTCGCGTAGACAGGTCCACCGGCCCACCAGTGGGTCCAGCCGGGTGGCGCAGGCCCGGCCCCCGAAAGAGGCCCGCACGATCCAGAGCTCCAGTCGCTGCTCAGCACGCGGCTCGAAACGGTAGACGCAGCTTAGATTGCGCGCCCCACCGCGCTGAAAGAGGAAGACGCTCCGAGGGGATCCAAACGTCAAGGACGCGCCGCCAGGACCAGGTCCAGGTCGGAAGACGCGGTCGCAAGGCGCCGGCTCTTCGACGAACTCATAGCGGAGCGCGAACCCCACGGGATAGAGGGCGCTGCCCTGGCGCAGCGCGTGTTCCAGGGTAAGACGCCGTCCAGAGGAGACGTAGCTTTCGGCTAGGCTGCAGGGCCGAGCTAGGTGGCTGCCATTCCGCAGCAGCCCATGGTCGCAAAGCCGCGGCACGTCGTCCTTGCAGAAGCGGCCCATCAGCGTGGCGTTCTGTGACCCAAAGAAGGCGTCAGCGCGGCCCCATTGAGTGAATCTCAGCTGGACATGGATCGGTTTGACACTGGCACTGTTGGACACGCGTTACTGGCCGTCGCCAAGGCGCTATCATAGTCCATCCCTAGCATCGGTCATTGATTATAGGTCTAGGCCCTCTTCTGCAAGCGATCATAAGATGTAACCTGATCAAACCTAATTTAACTGCATAAAAATTGCATTTGATGAAGAACTATCTAGAGCTGTTACTAGGGTCCAATGCTATGAATCGGCCTTGTATCGCTATCTTGGCGATGCTTCCAATAGTGGCGGTGCCCAAATGATCCGTTGGGATTTTTCCACCCATTGCACGAGATCGGTGACGATTCACCTTTCTTGTCTCGTTGGCTTCCGCTGGGTCGCCGTCCCAGATGAGTAGCCGGGCGCCGCAGTCGCCGGACCCATCAAGCCCAACGGCCGGGTCGGCCGCAGCCGCGTGGTACTTGACGAACGAGATCCACACGACCTCTCCAGGCCGACCCTGGAAGTGGTACCTGCAGGTGGTGTTGGGCGGCAGCGAATGCTTCGGATTCTCCAGCACCCCAGCCGACTTCTCTGAACTCAGGACATATAGGTCGCAGTCATCGGCGCCCTTGGCGAGGCCGTGTGGCCGTTCGTCCACGAAAAGGACCTGCGAGACCGCGTGCGAGTTCCTCAGGATCACCCAAGACCACGGCGGACGGGAAGGACCCGTTTCGCCACACGGACACAAAGCATTGGACCCTGTTATTCGACACACCAGTGTTGAATTCCTTTATATAGAACAGCTCATGGAAGATCTTGCCTGGGGAACCCTGACAATATATGATCGCCGATAACCATAGTGCGAAGCATAAATATTTCTAGGATCCTAAAAGAGAGACATACCTTGATGTATGTGATTGTGAACGGTCAACAAAAGTGTGTCGAATAAGTGTGTCCAATATTTTGCGTCGAAACGGATCTGTATACAAATCGGATACCACTTCAAGAATCCTACCTGGACCTCTAACTCAAACCCGGGTAGGAAGGAAAGCGGCACCGGATGGAAGGGATTGTCGAAGGGCGACGTGTGAAACTCGAGCAGCATGGTGCCGCGACTGCTGATGATGTTGGGGACGGCATCGCCGCCGCAGAGCCTCACGAGTACGCGGTCTGTGGTCGAACCTCCGTCGTAGATGGTTAAATAATCCTGGACGATGTTGCACTGTCCCCAAACCCTAAAACCAAACAACGAGTGAGCATGACCCCGACTCCCGTCCATCCCCGGGCACTCACTTAAGGACGCGCTGGCTGCGGTCGTATTTGACGACGCGGTCCTTGATGTGGATCTTGTGGCCGTTGCGTTGACCGACAGCAAGCAACGCGCGGTGCCCCGGGGGTGCCCTAGGTTGCTCGATGCGGTAGTAGCAGGTGACGTTCCGGGGGTAGACGCCCGGGTAGTTCGGGGACTGCACCCTGCAGGCACGTTCGTCGCACCTGGTCAGCACCCTGTCGCAGTAGGTCCCGTTGACGAGCTCGCCTCTCCATATGGGCAGACTGCTGTTCCCGTAGCGTAGATGGGCCTCGCCTCGGCGCAGGAACTTGTAGGAGAGCTTTAAGTCGAAGTTGTATTCCATGCCCTGGAGGGAGAAGCGTGTTAAACCACCAGCCCTGATCGAACCCTGGTTGGATGAGTGGTACGTTTCGTCCCAACTCCGTTTGGGCACGGATCATTTGACGCACAGGTGTTATCCACACTAGAGTTCTAAATCCAGTAAGTTACGTAAGAAACGAAGAGAAATTCCCGGTAAGTTATCGGTAATTTCTCCAAAGCCTTTTTTATCGAGAAATTATGAGAATTTGAATTTTTCAACAGAGCGAACGAGAGGTTTCGATTAGCTATAGAGAAACATCGTAGAGGGGAATTTCCGTTGTACGTTCTCCGTAGCCAATCAAAACCTCCCATTCGCTTCGTCGCAGAATGAAATATCAGTTCGTTTGAAACAAATCGCATGGAATTTTCCGTGAAGTTGTACATACGTGAATATTTTTAGCTGGAGGTAAATACGACCCTATAATCAATATTTTCTAATAGTAATTATTACTCTTTAGCTTGAACTTTGAAGTTGATTGAAAAAAAAAAAGTTATTTAAACGAAGAAACCTAAAGTATAAATAACAAAATTAACGTTCTCTTAAATTCTCAATGTTCCCGGTAACTTACGGTATGTTTCACAGTTACCTTCTCCAATTTAATGTTACCGAGAATTTTCGAACTCTAATCCACACTAGCACCTCTTTATATCGGACATAGTCCATGACAATTTTCGTCTTTGGCATCGTCATGGACGTATAATATATGGACCACTCATTAGGTACCGCTCGTAGAACGGGGAGAGAACGAGAATTGCGGCAATCGTGTCTGCACTTGTCTGTGCTGGTTGAATGCGCAATAAGTTCTTGACAGTTGGTTAACAGCAATATACATATCCACACACGCAAATTACTTCACTGCGCATTCTTGTTGCGCAGACAAGCGTAGACCCGATTGCCAGCGTTCTCATTGGGTGTCTTCAGAGGAGACAACTGTTGAGTGATCGGTTAGCGCTCATCTGCTGAATGGGTACGTTCACTCAACATGTTTATTGATCTGACGCCATTTTATGTATCAGAAATTTTCTATGCTACCAACGCTCAAGGTGTTGGGTAGATCAAATTCAAATTCAAACGGTGTAGATTCAAGTTAAAGAAGCAAGGATGGCAAATGAAATCAATTATTACAATGAAATATATGAAGTAAACGGTCTTCGGTACGATGTAGTAGAGAGTGCAGAAGTGCATAAAATGTTACAAAATGGTAGGTTATTTCGAAATGTATACTTAACCTTAATCTAATATATTCAATCTTCCTAATATAGACCAAAAAACTAATAATAAATAAATAATTAAGTTAGTATGAACATGTGAGTGTTCGTTTTCAAATGTTACATTCTGTTACGNTTTTTAGCTGGAATTAAATACGACCCTAAAATCAATATTTTCTAATAGTAATTATTACTCTTTAGCTTGAACTTTGAAGTTGATTGAAAAAAAAAGTTATTTAAACGAAGAAACCTAAAGTATAAATAAGAAAATTAACGTTCTCTTAAATTCTCAATGTTCCCGGTAACTTACGGTATGTTTCACAGTTACCTTCTCCAATTTAATGTTACCGAGAATTTTCGAACTCTAATTAGACCCAGTCAGAGCCATATTCAAGCATAAGGAATGAGCGGTCTATGTATTATATGTCCATGGCCATCGTAGAAATATTTTGTGTTTATGCGACACGATCAGTAAGATCCTGGGGGTCTATTACGTAAAGCAAATTGAGCGAAAATGTGAAAAATGAGGAGCTGACGGTATTGCGGAACGTTTTTGGAGGTGAAAATGCGAGACCATTCATATGAATTGGGTCGACACAAATTTTTACGCGAAATGGTGAAGTATACAAGAAAAGATATATAAATAAGCGCCGTGAATGCCATCTTCCACGGATTGTGACACCGAAATTCAAAATGGAAAACCTCCTGGGTGTTTTGATTTTTGGCAACAATCATATTCGGGGACGTAGTAATAATCTTATTAGAAGAAGAAGCGAATTACGTGATGCCTCAGATCCATTTTCGTTAGAGGAAAGAGAATTTACTAGGATGTACAGATTAGTTTTTGTTATTGCGAGGTTATATTACATTATAAAACATTGAAAACTGTTAAATAATTCATGCTTACATGACATGATAAGAAAATTATATCGTTGAACTTCTAATTATAGTACATGTAAATATGAATATAATACATATTTAAAAAATATAAATAGACTCGAGTCCTCTTCTTTACTTTTAACGGCTTTCCATCTTCTCGTCTTTCTTGCGTATAACCCCTTACCTCTCAACAATTTTCGATTTACAAGGTATGTACCTTTATTTGGCAATATTACCAGACCGGAAGTGCTAGTGATCTCGTTCTTTCATACAGCGAATACGTAATTCGATGAATAAACCCACGTGAGATGAAAGTGCGAGAAGTGAGCACTCTCGTCAAAAATACGTAATAACCGCCCTGGGGGTTCATTACGTATGACAGATTGAGTGAAAATGTGAAAAATGAGCAGCTCACGGTATTACGGAACTTTTATCGTGGTGTAAATGTCAGATTATTCGCGTGAGACTACTGAATAAGGAATTCAGTGCCGAGTGATGAGATATGAGAAAGAAGAACAATAAACAGGAGGATAGCGAGAGAGACCCGACGACAAGAGCGTATCTAAATATCCGTTGAGAAGGTTCAAATTGTTAGCGATTAACACGGCCTACACAGCAATATTAATAATATTTAATAACGAATGGGATAAGGATGGGAAAATGTGGATCGCGAAGGGGCACCTCGGGATATTTCTAAGCTGTTGACTATTTTAGAAAATCAGTTCCGCAACAGTTAAGTTAATAGTCATGTTTGTTATTAACATCACAATTATTTTGTATTTTAGTATATCATAGTATGTTATCCAGGATATTTTTTGTCACTCACTTTTATTTTGATACTATGTCGCATATGAAACTTACAACTTTACACAAGTCTTCATTTACGGTAGGAGGTATAACAAATTCAAATCGTTTTCAAGCGTTGTAGCCAATCAATTATATGGTAGACTTATGCTCAAAAACCTTTCCCGCATACTTTCTGTCTCAAAATTTCGCATTTTCACTCGGAGGATATGTAATCGGGTGAATTAACTCGCATGAGATGAAAGTGCGAGAAATGGGCACACTCGTCAAAGATACGTAATAGGCGCCCTGTACTTGTTATCGTCATGGAAATTGTCGTCGAAATTTCGCATTGTCACTCGAAGGATACGTAATCGGGTGAATTAACTCGCGTAAGATGAAAGTGCGAGAAGTGGGCACACTCGTCAAAGATATGTAATAGACGCCCTGTACTTGTCGTCATCGAAATCGTCGTCGAAATTTCGCATTTTCACTCGGAAGTTATGTAATCGGGTGAATTAACTAGCGTGAGATGAAAGTGCGAGAAGGGGACACACTCGTCAAAGATACGTAATAGACGCCCTGTACTTATTGTCGTCATCGTAATCGTCATCGAAATTTCGCATTTTCACTCGGAGGATACGTAATCGGGTGAATTAACTCGCGTGAGATGAAAGTGCGAGAAGGGGGCACCCTCGTCAAAGATACGTAATAGACGCCCTGTAGTTGTTATCGTCAATAGTGGATGCACGAATATCCCTAGGATCCCGAAAACGAACCTTGCCATGAACTGCATCCACTGCATAGTCATATAGTATGGACTGAGTATCTATTATTGCCAATAATATAGAAAATGTCCGTCTGATAGAAAGAGAGAGAATGTAGTTTGTGCCACTCTCCTTCTCTCCATACTCTTTTCTGATTGAATGGCAACAATAGATGCTGAGTCCATACCATATGTCTATGATACACTATGAAAGGACATCACAGTTGATGTGCCCAGAGATGAGCGGGAAGATGTTTCACTCCACCGTTTGAAAGGGAGGCACGGTCCCCTGGCGCCCTCTACGCCCTCGACACCTCTGTAAAAATTGGAACTACTTTCAAAGAGGCGAAATCTTCGCGATCGGTAAAACAGGGTATACGTGGGTGCCGCGTCGTAATCTCAACCATCCACGCATAACAACTTTATTTGGTATCCGTAGTCTCCTTTCCCAACCTAAAAACGAAAAGGAGATAACTTCATTCTATCGATCCTATGCTGTATTTCAAATCTGCGGACGCGTTTCTCTTTATCGATAGGGAACATTTCGCAGCTTTGAAAGCAGTTCCATGGCGCTAGGGACCTGTGCCTCTTTTTTGACAATGGCGTGAAACATCTCCCCGCTCATCTTTGATGCGTCCAATGTGTTGTGCCCAAATGAATCCGTGGAGGAACTGGGTAGGTCTGTTGCGAAGTGGATCCCTCCCGGCTGGACCGTTCACCTGCTCGAAGAGCCGCGAGACGTAGAGCGCCAGGTCGATGGAGGGCGTCTCGCTGTAATAGACGGTGTACCCCCAGGCACTGCCGCACCACTGGCCACCCGTGGCCGGGAGGCCCGCCTCGCGGATGGTTACGTAGCCGTCGGGACATCCCTCAGCAGTGTACGAGTCAAAACGGCCGACGGTGAAGGCGTCAAACGTCAGCTGAAAATCACTACCTTTAGACAGGACGGTCCAACCCACGGACCCTAGCGACTAATAATGTGCGAACACGAGGCCTTAAGGTGAAGTGAAACCCCCTTCAAATCAGTCGATTCGAATACAACACTTTTTTTTAAGGGTATTAGACCAAACTGTCCGAAACTTTGACACATCACTCCTGATCATCTAAGAATTGTCCTGACACATTCAAAATTTGGATTTTTGGAAAAAATTTGTTAACTCAGCCCAGACCAGATCCAAAATGGCGTCAGGCTCTCATATTTCGATCAATATACAATTATTGTAGGCTCTGATTTGAGAAAGGAAAGGGTCAGGACAATTTTACGAGAATTTAGAACACTCTGGTAATCTATAAACTCGCATTTCAACGGGATAAAGGCAAAAAAAGTGTTGTATACGCTTCTATGCCAAAACGATGGGAATACGAGGTCTCGGAGTGAAAATTTAATTCACCTGGAAATCACAGATGGCGCAGGGGGTTCCTCTGCAGTCAATTAGGGCCCCAGAAAGCATGAATCCAGAGGATTTCTGGAGTTTCACTTCGATTTCTTGATATTTATTGTATGAAAACGACAGGTGGAGTATGCCATTTGGTACAATATACAATATAATTCGAAACAGCTGTCAATATAGAAACGAACGTCGGCAACGTAGGCATTTAGAAAAATTTTCTTTATCGACGTCGATCAAGTTCCTCGACGTGTTTCACTTCACCTTAAGAGGATATGAGAGGCGCTAAGAAATTTAATCGACGTCAATAAAGAAAAATTCATCTATACCCTTTTTGGTGGTAATAAGCTGGCGCGTCCTATTACCGACATTTATATTTACGTCAAGCTCGTATACTGTCTACGTTGAGAATTATACGAACTGACGGGTTCTACATGTCATTTCGGTAAAATGATGATAAAAAGATTGATGTAAAACTGCCGAAATTACATGAATTCGTGACTGTTTATATTTTGACGAACCAACGTCGCCATCTGCGACGTTTAGCTGCAACTAAATTTTTCTTCTAAACGTACCGTTACCGACATTTATATTTATGTTGAAGTCATTTACAATCTACGTTGAGAATTATACGAAATGAAGGGTTCCGTATGTTATTTCAGTAAAGTAACGATAAAAACTTCGATGTGAAACTGTCGAAACCCCACTAATTCATGACTTTATATTTTGACGGACCAACGTCGCCATCTGTGACGTTTAGCTGCAACTAAATCTTTGCTCTAAAAAACAGTGTTACCCGCAGGACAAGCCAGCATTCTCTCGCAATCGTTGGTGAAAGTATTTATCCATTTCTACGGTATTCTAAATTGTTCGATCTAGGTCCTGAAACTCTTCATTTTTTATTCTAAGCCTCCAAGAAGCGTAAAACATCGAAAACGTGCACGGACCACACCATATTAGTTCTAGTCCATGATAGGTAAATAAATTTTGGATGAAAAATTAAATTTCACGAGTTTCCGGACCTACTTTAAGGTGAAGTGAAACACGTCGAGGAACTTGATCAACGTCGATAAAGAAGATTTTTCTAAATGCCTACGTTGCCGACGTTCGTTTTTATATTGACAACTGTATCGAATTACATTGAATATTGTACCAAATGGCATACTCCACCTGTCGTTTTCGTACAATAAATATCAAGAAATCGAAGTAAAACTCCAGAAATCCTCTGGATTTAAGCTTTCTGGGGCCCTAATTGACTGCAGAGGGACACCATGCGCCATCTGTGATTTCCAGGTCAATTAAATTTTCATTCCGAGACCTCGTATTACCATCATTTTGGCATAGAAGCGCATACAACACTTTTTTTGCCTTTATCCCGTTCAAATGCGAGTTTATCGATTACCGGAGTGTTCTAAATTGTCGTAAAATTGTCCTGACCCTTTCGATTCTCATATCATAACCTTCGATAATTGTATACTGATCGAAATATGAGAGCTCGACGCCATTTTGGTTCTGGTCTGGACTGTTAAAAAATTGTTTTGAAAAATCCTAATTTTGAAGGTGTCAGGACAATTCTTAGATGATCAGGAGTGATGTGTCAAAGTTTCGGACAGTTTGGTCTAATACCCTTAAAAAAAAGTGTTGTATTCGAATCGACTGATTTGAAGGGTGTTTCACTTCACCTTAAGGCCTCCATATTCCTGTGGTAAAATTTGAAGCGAACACCCAATTCGAAGAATGAGGGTGAATTCGCAGGTTAAGGTCGACTCTACGACCAACAGCTCGCTTGTTCGACTTGCAAAATAAAAAAAAAATAGGAAATTGTTACTTATACATACCAACTAGATTTTATATTTTGTATGCGGCCCAAGACTATTTCTGTTCACGTAATGTCCCATTGAACACTGTTATATAACTGTTAGGTAAATGCTACGTTTCCGAAGCTAACGTGTTATGTAGCATAAAAGTAACATGGAAGTTAGATGTTCGTTATTATTTCCCCCACGAAAAGGTAACATGTTATAAGTTCAATGACCTTAAAATAATATTAATTTTTCAAACATTTAATAAAAAAATAATGGAATTTTATAAACAATTATGTAATTCTTTTATTTCGTAATATTTTGTGGCACGTGGCAATAGTTAGGTATTATATAATAAATCAGATATTAAATGAAATTATGTGAATGATAAACTATCTGATTTTACTTAAAGACAATTAGGATTTCATTCGACTAGCAAACAATTACTGATAATGTATATCAGAGCC